TCATTTGGGACCACAAAGTCCCGGGTTTCCTGGGTTGGCCACAGTTTTTTTTCAACAAACAAAATAGGGGGTTTTTTTCAGTGGGCCACGAATTTGAGGGTTTCCCCTATTTGGTACCAGCTTTTCAAAATTAACAGATAGGATGGGGATTTAAGTAGACCACAAAAGTTTTTGGTTTAGTTGGTACCAGTGCAAATTTTTTCATATTAACAGATGGATGGTATTACAGTAGACCACGAAGTGCTGGTTCCTAGTTGGTACCACAGCTATTTCATATAACAGATAGGATGGTATTACAGTAGACCACGAAGTGCTGGTTCCTAGTTGGTACCACAGCTATTCATATTAACAGATAGGATGGTATTACAGTAGACCACGAAGTGCTGGTTCCTAGTTGGTACCACAGCTATTTCATATTAACAGATAGGATGGGTATTTCAGTAGACCACGAAGTGCTGGTTCCTAGTTGGTACCACAGCTATTTCATATTAACAGATAGGATGGTATTACAGTAGACCACGAAGTGCTGGTTCCTAGTTGGTACCACAGCTATTTCATATTAACAGATAGGATGGTATTACAGTAGACCACGAAGTGCTGGTTCCTAGTTGGTACCACAGCTATTTCATATTAACAGATAGGATGGTATTACAGTAGACCACGAAGTGCTGGTTCCTAGTTGGTACCACAGCTATTTCATATTAACAGATAGGATGGTATTACAGTAGACCACGAAGTGCTGGTTCCTAGTTGGTACCACAGCTATTTCATATTAACAGATAGGATGGTATTACAGTAGACCACGAAGTGCTGGTTCCTAGTTGGTACCACAGCTATTTCATATTAACAGATAGGATGGTATTACAGTAGACCACGAAGTGCTGGTTCCTAGTTGGTACCACAGCTATTTCATATTAACAGATAGGATGGTATTACAGTAGACCACGAAGTGCTGGTTCCTAGTTGGTACCACAGCTATTTCATATTAACAGATAGGATGGTATTACAGTAGACCACGAAGTGCTGGTTCCTAGTTGGTACCACAGCTATTTCATATTAACAGATAGGATGGTATTACAGTAGACCACGAAGTGCTGGTTCCTAGTTGGTACCACAGCTATTTCATATTAACAGATAGGATGGTATTACAGTAGACCACGAAGTGCTGGTTCCTAGTTGGTACCACAGCTATTTCATATTAACAGATAGGATGGTATTACAGTAGACCACGAAGTGCTGGTTCCTAGTTGGTACCACAGCTATTTCATATTAACAGATAGGATGGTATTACAGTAGACCACGAAGTGCTGGTTCCTAGTTGGTACCACAGCTATTTCATATTAACAGATAGGATGGTATTACAGTAGACCACGAAGTGCTGGTTCCTAGTTGGTACCACAGCTATTTCATATTAACAGATAGGATGGTATTACAGTAGACCACGAAGTGCTGGTTCCTAGTTGGTACCACAGCTATTTCATATTAACAGATAGGATGGTATTACAGTAGACCACGAAGTGCTGGTTCCTAGTTGGTACCACAGCTATTTCATATTAACAGATAGGATGGTATTACAGTAGACCACGAAGTGCTGGTTCCTAGTTGGTACCACAGCTATTTCATATTAACAGATAGGATGGTATTACAGTAGACCACGAAGTGCTGGTTCCTAGTTGGTACCACAGCTATTTCATATTAACAGATAGGATGGTATTACAGTAGACCACGAAGTGCTGGTTCCTAGTTGGTACCACAGCTATTTCATATTAACAGATAGGATGGTATTACAGTAGACCACGAAGTGCTGGTTCCTAGTTGGTACCACAGCTATTTCATATTAACAGATAGGATGGTATTACAGTAGACCACGAAGTGCTGGTTCCTAGTTGGTACCACAGCTATTTCATATTAACAGATAGGATGGTATTACAGTAGACCACGAAGTGCTGGTTCCTAGTTGGTACCACAGCTATTTCATATTAACAGATAGGATGGTATTACAGTAGACCACGAAGTGCTGGTTCCTAGTTGGTACCACAGCTATTTCATATTAACAGATAGGATGGTATTACAGTAGACCACGAAGTGCTGGTTCCTAGTTGGTACCACAGCTATTTCATATTAACAGATAGGATGGTATTACAGTAGACCACGAAGTGCTGGTTCCTAGTTGGTACCACAGCTATTTCATATTAACAGATAGGATGGTATTACAGTAGACCACGAAGTGCTGGTTCCTAGTTGGTACCACAGCTATTTCATATTAACAGATAGGATGGTATTACAGTAGACCACGAAGTGCTGGTTCCTAGTTTGGTACCACAGCTATTTCATATTAACAGATAGGATGGTATTACAGTAGACCACGAAGTGCTGGTTCCTAGTTGGTACCACAGCTATTTCATATTAACAGATAGGATGGTATTACAGTAGACCACGAAGTGCTGGTTCCTAGTTGGTACCACAGCTATTTCATATTAACAGATAGGATGGTATTACAGTAGACCACGAAGTGCTGGTTCCTAGTTGGTACCACAGCTATTTCATATTAACAGATAGGATGGTATTACAGTAGACCACGAAGTGCTGGTTCCTAGTTGGTACCACAGCTATTTCATATTAACAGATAGGATGGTATTACAGTAGACCACGAAGTGCTGGTTCCTAGTTGGTACCACAGCTATTTCATATTAACAGATATGATGGTATTACAGTAGACCACGAAGTGCTGGTTCCTAGTTGGTACCACAGCTATTTCATATTAACAGATAGGATGGTATTACAGTAGACCACGAAGTGCTGGTTCCTAGTTGGTACCACAGCTATTTCATATTAACAGATAGGATGGTATTACAGTAGACCACGAAGTGCTGGTTCCTAGCTGTTGGTACCACAGCTATTTCATATTAACAGATAGGATGGTATTACAGTAGACCACGAAGTGCTGGTTCCTAGTGTTGGTACCACAGCTATTTCATATTAACAGATAGGATGGTATTACAGTAGACCACGAAGTGCTGGTTCCTAGCTGTTGGTACCACAGCTATTTCATATTAACAGATAGGATGGTATTACAGTAGACCACGAAGTGCTGGTTCCTAGCTGTTGGTACCACAGCTATTTCATATTAACAGATAGGATGGTATTACAGTAGACCACGAAGTGCTGGTTCCTAGCTGTTGGTACCACAGCTATTTCATATTAACAGATAGGATGGTATTACAGTAGACCACGAAGTGCTGGTTCCTAGTTGGTACCACAGCTATTTCATATTAACAGATAGGATGGTATTACAGTAGACCACGAAGTGCTGGTTCCTAGTTGGTACCACAGCTATTTCATATTAACAGATAGGATGGTATTACAGTAGACCACGAAGTGCTGGTTCCTAGTTGGTACCACAGCTATTTCATATTAACAGATAGGATGGTATTACAGTAGACCACGAAGTGCTGGTTCCTAGTTGGTACCACAGCTATTTCATATTAACAGATAGGATGGTATTACAGTAGACCACGAAGTGCTGGTTCCTAGTTGGTACCACAGCTATTTCATATCAACAGATAGGATGGTATTACAGTAGACCACGAAGTGCTGGTTCCTAGTTGGTACCACAGCTATTTCATATTAACAGATAGGATGGTATTACAGTAGACCACGAAGTGCTGGTTCCTAGTTGGTACCACAGCTATTTCATATTAACAGATAGGATGGTATTACAGTAGACCACGAAGTGCTGGTTCCTAGTTGGTACCACAGCTATTTCATATTAACAGATAGGATGGTATTACAGTAGACCACGAAGTGCTGGTTCCTAGTTGGTACCACAGCTATTTCATATTAACAGATAGGATGGTATTACAGTAGACCACGAAGTGCTGGTTCCTAGTTGGTACCACAGCTATTTCATATTAACAGATAGGATGGTATTACAGTAGACCACGAAGTGCTGGTTCCTAGTTGGTACCACAGCTATTTCATATTAACAGATAGGATGGTATTACAGTAGACCACGAAGTGCTGGTTCCTAGCTGTTGGTACCACAGCTATTTCATATTAACAGATAGGATGGTATTACAGTAGACCACGAAGTGCTGGTTCCTAGTTGGTACCACAGCTATTTCATATTAACAGATAGGATGGTATTACAGTAGACCACGAAGTGCTGGTTCCTAGTTGGTACCACAGCTATTTCATATTAACAGATAGGATGGTATTTCATGGCACAACTGAATCTAATTATAAACACAGACCACTGACATGTAGCAACCTTTACCACTGATGACTGGGAGACAGTGCACACTTTAGCGCTAAAAATAGGGGCTGCTGCACACTTTAGCACTTAAGAATATATTTGCAGAACTAAAAACCCTTTACAATGTAAAGAATATCAGAATATGTAAAGTTTACATATTCTGATATTCTCGAGAATGTTCTGTAATTAAGACTGTTAAGCTCTTTGTAGTCCGCTCTACCATAGCACTTGAAGACACGACTGAAGACGATTTACACATGTATTTGAAAGCTCCTGTTATCCTCCTTTCGTGTCACTTATATGTACGTGCAAAGTCGCAAAGTCGCAAATTAAATAACTTTATAACCCCCAAACACACACATTAACACTTTATTGGAGGGTGTTCTGGAAAAAGGTTTGCAGTTTGCACTTTAAAATGGGAGGCCGTGCACTTATTACAACGTGAGGATTGTACAATTCTGATAACCTTATTGTTTAATTATAGCCATAAAGTGGGCTCCTAAATATTTTATTTCAATTCTCACGCGGCTTGCAAAATATAAGAAAAGCGATTTCTAACGAAAACTCAAAGCATGGCGGGGTCGGCGCAGTACAGAGGAAGATAAATCAGCAATGAAATTTGAGCTGTGAAGTAGCCATATGCCCTAAAACAAGTCACGTGACTTTTAAACAAGTCACGTGGGCAACTGTCACGTGGTACAACTGTGATCTAGGAGTCACATTAAAGTCCAATTTGAACACTTACCCAGTTTCCCGAGAACTTTATCACACAGTAACACACTCCGCTCCACTTCCAGCTGTATGCCGTTAAAGATACTGTCAAGACTCTCCAGCTCGCACTTTCTCCCTCCGTTTACCACTTTACCACTTGTGTTTACCACCTTGACACTTCCACCTTTAACAACTTTACCACTTCCACTTCTAACCACCTTTAAACTTCCTGTCTTGATCACTTTCTCCACATTCCCCGTCTTGCTCCCCAGTTTATCAGCGCTCAAAACCTTAAAAACAGGTTTCTTGACAACACCCTCAACTCCTAGCTTCCTCACAACATCTATATCTCCTATAACAACCTCTGTGGGCTCGTCACTTATCTGTAAACTGATCGGAGACGGCTTATCTCTTATCTTGTCTCTTATCTGTATGCTTATCAGCGAAGATTTCCTCTCACTGATGTAACAAGTGAGAGGTAGGCTTTGTTTGTGACATGTCACACACGAGGGTGACGTTTTTATACAGCAAGCGTTACAGTTGTTACTGAGTTGTTCCGTTGTCATGGTAACCGCCGGCTTGGTTGTCATGGCAACCTTTGTGTTTTTGGCACCCAGCTAGAAATGGAAACAATAGTAATTCAAGAGATCATATAAATATTTTACGAAATTAAGAACGAAAAGCACAACCATAACATATTACATAAGGTCAATGAATAATTCTAAAATGTGCAGAAAAATTACTGGTGGACTCTAATCAGATTAATGATCATCAACCGCAAAAATATTGCAACTATTTACCGAACCAGGGGTCGCTAGATATCAAATAACAAGGTAATGTTAAGTAAATAGCTGTAATAACTTAATAATAAAGCAATTACAAGCCGGACAACAACTAAGCAAAAGGAAGTAAATAAAAAGGAAACAAAGTTATTAGCTACAAGACAGTAGTTACAAGACATTAGTAGCAAGACAGGGAACAAGTTCCCAAAACAGATCGCAAAGAATTTCCTTTCCCCAAATATGGCTTAACATGCATAATGTAAACAAACAAAACCCCGATTTACCGCTGACCCCGATTTACCGCGGATGTTTCCTTTCCCCAAACTCCGCGGTAAATCGGGGTTTTACTGTATTAGTTACAAAACAAGGAACGGGCTTTTCGGGGTTTTACTTTAGCTACAAGTTACTAGCTACAAGACAGCTGGGGGAACGAGCTCCAAAGACAGATCGCAAAGTAGATCCTGGTAAGAATGTGTAAGATGGTGAAATTCAACAAGCACCAAAGGTCACTCGCATTAGCATGCAATACACTCTGTGTGTGTGGGGAGGCGGTTTAAACATTGTAATATGGGTCACTAATACTCACTAATTGTTCACTTGTTCGGGTGGTTTTAAATAACATCCTAGCAAATGTAATATGGCCACGTTTTTGAGGACGTGGGAAAGCCGCATACGTCAATGGGTAACAATGACTAATAATGGGTATATGTCAGAGAAAACGTTGGTCACACAGATTAGCATGCAGAGAGTACAGGTTGTGAAAGGGGGTTTAACCACAGCATATGTGGTGTGATGTGGTCATTGGTCACGTGATATGGTCACGTGAAGGGAGAGGAAGTAAAACCATATTTGTTGAGGGGTTTTAATGTAATATATCCACGTTAATTTTTACATATTATTCGTTAACTTAATTCATAATAAATCGTGGGTCAGGGAAGTGAACACACACAGGCGGGCACAGGACTCGTACCAAGATTTGTGGTAAAAATAAAAATGCTAGATGGTAAATATGCCATTGAATTGACACTTTAAAGGAATCTTGACAGATAAACTAGTAAACCAAACAGGAAGCCGCTAACAAAAAATGAAGTACAATAAAAACTAACAATATTAAACAACTGACCTGCTCCCTGTCAGTAACTCAATACATGACACCTGTACCGGTACTAAGGGGGGCGTGGCCATGCACTGTACCGTGTATGCAGTTACCATGGCAACAAAGAGTCATTACCATGGCAACAATATACGCGGTAACAAATACCGTGGTACAATACGCATGATCAGGTCTGCTCTGAATTACAATACATTGGTAACATTGATACTACAATAGGCGGTTACTATACAAATTACCATAACTGCAATGGTAACCTGGCTGTTTACTATACAAATTACCATAACTACTGCAATGGTTACATGGCGACTGTTACCATGGCTACAATGGTAAAACTACCATGGCAACTGTTACTTCGTCTGTTGTTAGTGCCACTACTCCAATTATAATATATTGTCTGCTCCGTAAACACTTGTACAGGTGAACAATAATTGTCCGGTAATGAACTGTAAACAAAAACACCACAAAAGTAGCGCAATAGTAACACTAGTAACACTATAGTAACACACTAGTAACACTATAGTAACACTAGTAACACTATAGTAACACTATAGTAACACAATAGTAACACTACAGGTGACCTAATAATAGGTCTTCAGTTATTTATGGAACTGGTTCGAAATATGAACATTGAACATGCACGGTTGACAAAAAACTCAGGACAACTTTAATCAAGTATCTGACTGAAAAGCCGCACAATGTTTTGAGTATACGAGGTTTGTGACGTTATTTGGGTTTATTGGGGTCTATAGATCAAAAAAAATTTGGGTAGACAAAAAGTTATGTGTCCACCAGGTCTGTGGCCACGCCCTTTTATATGATCGTGGGAAAATCTTACCTTTTCCTAATATAAATTCATATTTGCTCAATCAAAGCAAGTAGGGTATCAAACCTAATGTTTTTTGACCCAAGAAATCGATTGGTGACATCTATTTGACTTTCAGACCATTCCCAGATAAGATAACCACGCCCATATTTACAATTGAGCGTCAAAATTCCCAAAAATGTAAGCAATTTTTTTGGGCAAGTTGGGCGTTGAGACCTATGTTTTTTGACCCAAGAAATTGATTGGTGATATCTATTTGACTTTCAGACCACTCCCAGATAAAATAACCACGCCCATATTTACAATTTAGCGTCAAAATTCCCAAAAATGTAATCAATTTTTTTGGGCAAGTTGGGTGTTGAGACCTATGTTTTTTGACCCAAGAATTTGATTGGTGATATCTATTTGACTTTCAGACCACTCCCAGATAAGATAACCACGCCCATATTTACAATTGAGCGTCAAAATTCCCAAAAATGTAAGCAATTTTTTTGGGCAAGTTGGGTGTTGAGACCTATGTTTTTTGACCCAAGAAATTGATTGGTGATATCTATTTGACTTTCAGACCACTTCAGATAAGATAACCACGCCCATATTTACAATCGAGCGTCAAGAATTCCCAAATACTCATGGATCTGAAGACATTCCCGTCTATATAACTTCCGCCCCGGGGTTTGAGACTTGGAATAGCTCAAGTGACCCATCAGAAACAATTTTGACCTGGGAAGAAATTGTAGCTATGGTGCAGTTTTGCGCAATTGACCACGCCCTTTTTTGGCACTTTTGCGACTTTATAATCAAAATAGCTCCGCTTCTAATTGGAATTAAAAGCTAAACTTGGCTTTAGAGTTTTTCAGAATCATCACATTTAGGGGGGTAGAACATAATTTTAAAGTCACTAGACATCAGGTTGTTGAGTTATATGACCACACCTTTTTTTCTCTCGCGAGTCATAATTTGCACACTAAATACCAGATATCTCGGCTTCTGATTGAGCTAGGTGCTTGTCCGGGGCATTAACATGTTCAAAATCATCAGTTTCAGTAGGGTAGAGCATAATTTAAAAATCCTCAAAGATCAGGTTGTTGAGGTATTAGGCCACAACCTATTTTTACGCTCTCGCCAATAGCAATTATAGCGTAATCTTCTTTCCCTAATAAGAGCATTTTTACTTGTCGCAACAACCGGGATAAAGATAATTTTACCCAGAATACATTACAACAATGCGACTCATAAATAATACTCCAATCCGGATTTTACATACAGCAATTATAGCACTTAAAATCAATATAACTCTGCTTTTGATTGGAGTTCGAAGCCAAGGGTCGACCGAGTCCTCGGCTTCGGTTTTACCGAGGAATAGCGATTTTTCCTCGGCCTCGGTCAGGAGGACAATTCCTCGGTTTGCCTTGGCCTCGGTTAAAAATTAAGTTGCTAATCCTCGGCCTCGGGGAAATTTTGAAGATTTTAAGGGTCGACCGAGTCCTCGGCCTCGGTTTTACCGAGGAATAGCGATTTTTCTCGGCCTCGGTCAGGAGGACAATTACTCGGTTTTTTCTCGTTCCCGGCCTCGGTCGCAAATCCTGCCCTCGGTCTACCCTTGTTCGAAGCTGAATTTGCCTATTATGTTCAGAACTATCACATTGAGTAGTGATTTCAAAGTCCTCTGGTATCAGGTTGCTGAGTCAATAGACCATAACCTTTACGCGACCAAGACAAAGCTACTAGTCTATATTACTGAAGGAAGTTGGGACAAACTCCAAAGAGGAACTGCCAACCCTGATGCGGGACAGGGATATATGAAGGGGGTTATCTGGCGTAGATCGGACGTAGTTCCGACATAGTAGTAGTAGTATAAGTAGTTTACGCATTCGTGATAACTGCATTTCATAGTGAAATACTAAGATATCTCCGCTTCTGGTGGGAGTTGAGTGTTAATCTTGGACATCAAAAAGATCAAAGCTTCGCATTGAATAGAGTACTCAGACATCACGTAGAACCATGATCTAGCCTCTACTCCCCTTACTGCTATAATTCTAAATATCTTCATGCCCAGGCTAAGCACCGAACTCCAATTAGAAGCCGAGATACCTTTCAATGAGTGTTGTAATTGTTGCAAGTAATTGCTTTGAAACCCAACTTAATGTGATAATTCTGACCATTTTGCTGCCCGAGTTTAGCTCCTAACTCCAATCAGAAGCTAAGTAATTTTAATTTTAAGCGCTGCAATTGCTACTCGCAAGAGCGTAAAAATAGGGTTTGGCCAAAAAAACTCAGCAACCTGATGTTTGAGGACTTTTAAATTATGCTTTACCCCACTTAATATGATAATTCTGACCATTTTTCTGCTCGAGTTTAGCTCTTTACTCCAATCAGAAGCCGATATATTTTGTATTAAGTGTGTCAATTGCTACTCGCGATAGCGTAAGAATAGGGTGTGGCCTAATACCTCAACAACCTGATGTCTGAGGACTTTGAAACCAAGTTCTACCCCACTCCATATGATAATTCTGACCATTTTGCTGCCCGAGTTTAGTTCCTAACTTCAATCAGAAGCTGAGTAATTTTAATTTATGCGCCGCAATTGCTACTCGCAAGAGCGTAAAAAGGGTGGGCGACAATTGACCCCCCGACAATTGACCCCCAACAATAATTTAATACAATTAACCCTGACCCGGACCCTAACTCTGACCCTTACCCTGACCCTGACCCTGACCCTGACCATGACCCTGACCCTGACCCTGACCCTGACCATGACCCTGAGCCTGAGCCTGAGCCTGACCTTGACCCTGACCCTGACCCTGACCCTGATCCTGACCCTGACCCTAACCCTAACCCTGACTCAGGACTCAGGACCCTAACCCTGACTCAGGACTCAGGACCCTAACCCTGACCCTGATTCTGACCCAGGACCCTGACCAGGACCCAGGACCCAGGACCCTGACCCTGACCCT